ACACACACACACACACAACAAAAAAAGGCCATCACCCCACAAAAAAAAAACAGCTTCAGATTCATCTAAGTACATACCATGCAAATCCCCTGGAAACCAACTGAAAAGTGGAAAATAAGGAATACAAACTCACCGTGAATTCTGTAACCTGAATTGAGCTTGCAAGTTCACCAAATAATCCTGCTTCCTTGTACGTTTCAAGAATGAAAGCAACACATGATGTTGACTTTCCATCACTATAAACCCAATCATCCTGCTCGGGAATAGTCAACAATTCAGCAAAAGAGGATCCACGCTTTTCAACTTCCACAAGAACATCAGGAAGACTAAGGTTCTGCATGGACAAAATGGATCAGCATGTAGTACTATATTTTATCAAGTCCATGATAGAGGTCTGCACTAACTTATTTTGCTTGAGATATCAGAGAGTTAACAAAGCAGAGTACATTTTCAGTGTAACAATGGTTTTATGTCATCAACCTTTGTAAATACAGTATTCTGATCTGCTTTAAATTGGTTACTAAATGGAGAAAAATAGTATCCAACCAGCTGCTTTAATAGTGTTTTGTCCACTATTTTGTTCTCAACAAACAGAAGCATCTCACAATTGTGATCATACAAAAACATAACCTGAGTTCCGAGTCGCTTGTTCAAGGCTTCATTCCACATGTTAGAAGCATACGCAGGCTGTAATTGGTTCCAAACAGTCATGACAGAAGCAACCTGCACCAGGCATCACTAAAACATCAGCAACAATTACATAAAATAACAGGTTAAGTTTCAATTTGCAGGAATTTTTTTATCAAGCTTTTTTAAAATTTCAATACGAATAGGAGCAACAAAGAGCGAAATCTCGGTGGATGGTGGTAGCAAGGCCACTCTGCCACTTTCAACTTCAATTTGCAGGAATACAGTAGCAGCTATTCAGCAAACAAAAACCAAGTGCCACGATGAACCACTTTATCTATAACTGCCGGCCATTTTTACTTGCTTAATGTCATTATCCTCTCTTCCCATCCCTCACCCTTCATCCGCCTAAATTTCTGATTTCAATTGTCCTTCTCATATTCATAGCATATCACATAGAGTGATTTCAAGCTCATTCATGACTCTATGGTGCTTCAAGTTTCTTACAATGAAACAAATACCAATTCAGCTCTCACGAGATGCTAACCTATCATTTATTCACCGCTTAAGCGCATATGCATGCTTCGTGGAGTTCTAAGGAACACTTGACTCATACTAGAATGTTATAGCAGTCAAATGAAGCTCCAAGAAGAAATTGATGATAACATCAAGTTAAATCCAAATGGATATACCCTTATGGAAATCTAGATACTATTCGATACATGAAACCTGCAGCTGAATGGTCTGCGTGTGAAATGCATGCATTTACCCAAATTCATTACATTTGCTAACATTATTATTTCACTAGCTGAGCAACTAAATACGCTGAGGTCTATGTTACCCGCTCTTTGAACTTATTTTATTTATTTGTGAGGACATAATTCAGCAAAAGAACAGCTGACTATAGTAGCAAATCAGAGGAATCAGGAAGTAAAGGACCGCATGAAAGAAAACAGCTTCAAAATAATACTTCAAACACAAATTGTGAAGACTGTAATATGACATAACATGCATTACCAGATGAGCATCCAAGGGTGAGGGGTAATTTCCATCAATTGTGTCTATCCAGCTAAATATTAAGTTGTGGTAACCATAAGGTTGGCCATCCATGCTTTTTGCATATTCCCAAGCAGCAGTTTCATTAAACTTGGCTCGGAGGTCAGGGTGCAAAGGGAGCAATGCAATATGTGGATTGGAATCATCTTTTGACAGCTCAAACTCCCACCACTCTTCCCATGGCAGTAGAGCAATAACATCTTCTCCCTGAAAGGAAATGTGAAGAATAAAATTGGTGCAAGTATGGTATAGAGATTACGTTACTAAGTATATGGCCATTCATGCTTAAAGTTTTCTTATATCTTCAACCTGCCCACCTTCCCCAATTCCAAGCTGTCTGGGCCAAGATGAATACCCAGAACTACAGCGTACACACTCAAGTTGTTAACCATGCGCCTTTGAATATTGTGTTGTGTCTATTGCATGCCCACAAGTTGCTACCTAGTTAGTGGTGCTTAAAGTTTGTGCAAATGTTGAATAGGGATCATACCTTTTAATGTGATACTCATACAACGTGATATTTGAAGTCAACGTTGTAATAGTCATACTAATATCTAAAGCTGTACACTCATGAACTTAGATGCTTTTTCCCCCCTAAGTTTGCTGATTTGAATATCACTCTAATACTTTAATCAATTGTTCCAACATGTCGCACTTTTATCTCTTTCTTTTTTCATTTATTAGGAAAACAACTTTTTATTCCCTAAAAGTTTAACTTTTCTATCAATTCTCGTTATTAGTTCGGTAAAATTTCAGAATTCCCTGAACATAAGTTCTGAAGTTTTTAACAAAACATGAACGAGAAAGTATGAAAACAGATAGCGAATAATAGTAGCAAAGTATGATAAAGACACCACAAAATAGTACACAAGTAAATAATCTTTTAAAACAAAAAAATGGATCTATAAGGATTGCCAAAATTAAAATAATTCTGGCGAAAGTAATCGCATTCCCTCAAAATAAGGATGTAAATGTTTTATTAACATGGAAGAAGAAAATTCCCGTAAACAACAACTGAATGTCTAAGGATTTTCAAATAAGAAAATTCTAGCAACAATAAGTCATGGAACAATTATATTACTTTTAATCTTGAAATTGAATTCTCAAAGTTGTGATTGCTTATTTGGAGAATGTTAAACGATGATAGGAGATAAGCAGATGAGAAGTTAATCAATAACATTTCTATCACTATAAAAAGACTAGAGAAGATCATAAAAAAATGCTAGCAGCCTAGTACAACGAGAAACAAAAGCAAATTTGCACAGTATGAGATAATTTTCTCGATCTCCATTCTCCTTCTATTCTTCCGGTTCTTTACTCTGTAACAGACTTTGCCCTTGCTCCCGAAGAAAGAAAGAGTAAATACCAAAGAATAACATAACGTGAAAACAAAATAGTTTAGAACACTACCTTGTCATTCTCATTTCCAGATTCGCCAACCCATAGTTTTCCTTCGGAGTCTCTCAAGCAAACAGCAGAATGGCCAGCATAAGCTCCTGATACCCATTTCTCTAAAGTCTCAAAACCACCCCAGCGACCTCTAATTTTTGATAATGCAAGAAAATCTCCAGAATGTATGTCATCGGTAGTAAAGTTGGTGACCCATGGCTGTGGACGTTTTTCAAATGAAGCACCCATATGTTTCTTTAGAAAACCAATATTTGAGTTCTCACCCCATCCAGTGTTCGTGAACAAAGGGAGAACATCCCAGAGTGCTGAAAGGGTTCCTAACATTCCTGCTTGCATTAGGAAAATTGAGATACCTTTATGTTTGACCTGTTTCAAATCTATTCCATTAGTCTCATAAATAATTCTTTTAGCTTCATTTAAGTAATGATTGGTACTCACATATTCTAACTCAGCTTGAGACTCCCATTCTTCAATTTCAAGGGTATGTTCACGAGACAATAAGTAGTAGTCCCATGTCACGCGATATGGGGTTGCAAAGATGTAAAGATCCATACATGTCCAACTGTGTGCATTGCTCACCTGCATAATGTTTTAATAGGATTACAATCATTGGTATTAGGATAAGTACAAGAATCCCACAGATCAAGCACTGGCATTAAATTGGGAACTCTTTCCAAAGAAGGCACAAAGAGAAGTAAAAAGCAGGTAAAATTACAATCCATGAGTTGCTTTATCAATAACCTATATCAAATATATACATATGCAGATAACAAATACTCATCATTAATAATAATGTATACAGATCATGCTTTACAAATTGTTTTCGTTCTCCATAAACACCAATAACATTGGCATTTGCAACATCGCTAAGCACAGTTTCCACTAAGTTTTTACCAACATAGAATCAATACAAAGACTAAGATTCTATAAAAGATATGTCGCATCCACAGCCTGCGGCAAAGTTACAATGAATAACATTAGGCAGATATAAGTCAACTTTTAGAGATTCACATGAAGAGGGTAGAGCAAATAATCAAGATCATCTTACTTCCACATGATCTTTTTTATCTATTTGGCAACCAAATCGACAGATATTTAATATAAAAAAAACAGACATTTAATAGCAAAGGATAATTAGGACCAGCTACAAGGACTTATCTTAGTCAACTAAATCGGGGAATCACCTAGATCAGAATTCACAGTAAATACCAACTCAAGAAATACTTAACAGAATCAATGAATCAATCAACTATGCCTCCATCCCAGCTAGTTGTGTTCAGCTGTAGGAATCCTCTATATCCATTCCACTCCATTTGGGCCCATTTCTTTTTCAATACAAGTATATAATTGTATTGTAAGGCATATTATGGGTTCTATTCTCTTAACCTAGAGGATCTCATATTCAAACAAGTCTTTAACCAGACAAAACAAAAACAAGCCCAGTAATTTCCCACAAGTGGGGTCTAGGGAGGGTAAGATGTATGCAGCCTTACCCCTACCCTAGAGGACAAAGAGGCTGTTTCCGATAGACCCTCGGCTGAAGAACGGATGAAAAAAGTAACGGCAACAAGTAGGAATAACAACAAGATAAAAAGACCGAAGCCAAGAAAGCAGTTAAACTCTAGGTAGTAATAGCAATCTATGAATAAAAGGATATCATACTAACACTAATACTAGCGAACTGGGTAAGACAAAGAGATACACTCGACTACTTACTAGCCTTCTACCCTACTCCTCGCCCTCCACACCCTCCTATCTAGGGCCATGTCTTCAGTCACCTCCAGCTGCGCCATGTCCCGCCTAATAACATATCCCCAAGACTTCTTAGCCCTACCTCTACCCTTCGTGATACCCACTGAGGCTAACCTCTCGCACCTTCTGACTGGGACTTCTATACTTCTCCTCTTAACATGCCTGAACCATCTCAGCCTCGCCTCCCGCATCTTTTCCTCCACAAGGGCCACTCCCACCTTATCCCGAATAACTTCATTCCTAATCCTATCCAACCTGGTATGCCCACACATCCACCTTAACATCCTCATCTCAGCTACTTTTATCTTCTGGAGATGAGGGTTCTTGACAGGCTAACACTCTGCTCCATAAAGCATAGTCAGTCTAACTACAACCTTGTAGAACTTACCTTTAAGTCTCAACGGCACATTCTTATCACACAAGACACCGGAAGCGAGCCTCCACTTCATCCATCCTGCTCCAATACAGTACGTGACATCCTCATCAATCTCCCCGTTACCTTGTATTATAGATCCAACGTACTTGAAACTACATCTCTTGGGGATGACTTGTGTATCAAGCCTCACCTCCATGTCCGCTTCCAGGGTAACGTAGTTGAACTTGCACTCCAAGTACTCCGTCTTGGTCCTGCTCAACTCGAAACCCTTAGACTCTAGGGCCTGCCTCCAAACCTCCAGTCTCTCGTTAACACCACCCTGTGTCTCGTCAATTAGAACTATGTTATTAGCAAATAACATACACCATGGCACCTCTCCTTGAATGTGTCGCGTCAATGCGTCCATCGCCAAGGAAAATAGATATGGGCTAATAGATGATCCCTGGTGCAACCCTATCACAACCGGAAAGTGTCCCGACTCTCTTCCCGCTGTCCTAACCTGAGTCTTAGCTTCATCATACATGTCCTTAATCACCCTAATATAGGCTGCTGGAACCCCTTTAGCTTCCAAGCATCTTCAAAGCACCTCTATCGGGACCTTGTCATAAGCTTTTTCTAGGTCAATGAACACCATATGCAAGTCCTTCTTCATCTCCCTATACTGCTCCACCAATCTCCTCACAAGGTGAATGGCTTCTATAGTCGAACGCCTCGGCATGAAACTGAACTGGTTTTTAGAAATGGACACATTGTTCCCCACTCTCACTTCAACCACCTTCTCCCAAACTTTCATCGTGTGGTAAGCAGCTTAATCCCGCTATAATTATTGCAACTTTGGATATCGCCCTTGTTCTAATACAACGGAATCACCGTACTCCAACTCCATTCCTCGGGCATCTTCTTCGTTCTAAAAATGACGTTGAACAGCCTAGTGAGCCACTCCAAACATGCCCTACCCGCATTCTTCCAACATTCCACAGGGATTTCATCTGGCCCGGTTGCTCTACCCCTGTGCATCTTACGCATAGCCCCTCGACCTCCTCTACTCTTATGCGCCTACAATAACCAAAATCCCGACGAATCTCGGAGTGCTCCAAATAAGATCATTACTATTAAACACCACACCTAATGTAAGTATAACAATAGCAACTAATCCTTATTCAAAAATACAAAGCACAAGGAAACAACTTTTCAGAATTCAGACCCATTTTACAAAAGCAAAAAAGAAAAATAGATAGAATGAGACCTTAATATGAAGGGTGCCTCCACCAAATTGACTTTGGGACTTATTGTGAAGCTCCAACCAAGCAATATTCTTGTAAAAGCAAGCACCTTTCCACTCCAGTATATTATTTGAAGCAACCCCAACAAAAGTGGGCATGAGGTCCACAGCACTGTGGAGAGAGTTGAGGATGGGCCATGAGACCTGTCTTGGTAAAAATGGCAGAATATCCTTTGGATGAAATGGTACTTTGAACCCATGTATCTGCCGCCATGGCAATAAACAGCAGAGGAATAAGAAAGTGACTAATAGGCTGTGATTCTTCAATATAACAGCCATGGCTTTCTGCTGTAGGAGATTCTTTGTTCAATAAGTGCTATGCTTATAAGGAAAATCGTTGTTCCACATGCTTCTAACTTTATTTCATTCATTTACTTACAAAAAGATATTTTCTTTCCAATTTCATTTATTTCGAGTTTCTGACCCATTTCATTTATTCAGTTTCCTTAATTCTTAATCGATAGATATTACTTAAAAATATTTACGTTGTCGTCACTACAATCACAAAATAAGTTTTCATAATTCAAACAAAATGGGTTTTCGTCAACACTACGTAATAGTGACAGGAAAGACAATTCTGTGAATATTGTTGGATTTGTTGCTTCTTCCTTTGAGCTTTCTAGATGTTTGGTTTAACTGGGAAAAAAAATACAATTTTTATACATTTCAAAAGTATTTTAAAACTAGTAATCTTAAATACTTCATTGACATTTTTATGGAACTCATCACCAAGGATAAAACGATAAATAAGTAAAAGCTAAAAATATAAAAAAGTACATTATTTTTTAAGAACTAATAAAAACGAAAATATCATAAAATAAAACAAATGGAATAAGAGAGTTTTCAAAGAAAATTAGACGCGCTATAATTCGAGTCAGTGACTTGCACATTTTGGTAAGAAACGCTTCTGTAATTTCCATAGCTGCTTTTTTTTCCTGTGAACTAATAAGCAAATTGCTTATAATCAAAATTCGTCTCTAAATATTTAAATATCATACTAGAAGAAAAGTTGATTGGTGGATTGTTGGTCCACTTTATAAGTTTAAAATGATTTCTTTTTAGGTTTTCCTTTTTTTATTTCCGTCATGGGATAGGGATTAGCCTCTAGTTTTGTTGTTTACATTCCCCATTCTGTTTTGACAAAGTTTATGAGAAAATTTCACTTTATACCTATTAAGCTCAAATTATTTATCTTTTAATACCCATGTTCAAACTATTTATCCTGTCTATCCAGTCGGCCCAATTTATTTATCCGGCCCCCATATTTCACGCGGTCCAATCTACCCATCTCTTCCTTATCTTCGATCCAGCCCATCTATTTCACCCGTCCCAAGCTTCCCACGCTTTTCTTCGTTCTTTAACAGTTAACAAGTAGAGTAGAGTACAGTTTCCAAATCTCCATAGCCAACCGATGAGAACGCAAAATTGAAACACATTCGAGTTTTAAATTTTTTCTTACGATTCCGTTCTATCTCTTCGTCTAGTACCTAATTTTGGGTGACATATTTGCTTTGGGTGAAATTTTTGCTTCTAAAGGTACATTTTAGTGAAAGTGGGTTTTCAAAATCATAGGATTTTTGTGTTTTCCTTTGTACTTTTGTGAATCACTGTCTATGGGTTGTTGTTTTCTCTATGGGTCGGAAGCATTGTGCGCGTAGATGGTGGCGCCGTGGACAATATCATTCTTCAACACAAGTAGCTGCTGAATCCGTTGGCTCAGCCATGTCTGTTCCTAGTTTTTCCTTATTTTCTGATTCTCAGTCTCCATTTAGTCGTAACCCTAGCAGTAGTCATGTTGAAAACACAACTGAAAATGTAGAATTAGAGGGTGGAAAAGGCAACAATATTAATGCTTCGTTAGTCGATGAAACTCCCTACCTGTCATTACCCGACACAAATTTCGAACCAGTCATAGAAGGTGTTCCTGCGACTGATAAGGGAAAAGGTAAAGTTTTGAGGATTATGAGTTAGGGGGAAGCCGACGTGAATCCATGCCTAAAACAGAGACTCAACCAGTAGATGTTGATTGTAGCGATGATTCTCAGTTAAAGAAGAAAAAAATTGGTGTCGCACCCAAGAAGGTAATTTTCTTACAATTATGATCTTTGAGATTTTTAATGTATAATACATTGTTATTTTTGATTTCCTATTATGCTTTTGTATTATGTTATAGTTATAGTCAGTTGTGTTAATTTTAAGTGAATTCTATTTCTTCAAGTTCATTCTGTACATTTAAGAGAACTGTTGTAAATTTATTACGATTTCCATTTATCTGTTTATTCCAGCTATCCGCTTCATCAATGTTCAGTGCGATGTAATAGTGTTTATAGCTGTCAAAATCCATATAGACAGATTAAATTAATGTTTTGCTTGCGTTTTAAAAAGGGTCACTGATTCAGTAGCTGTTGTAGTCAACCATATTTATTGAAGCCAGAGCTGCTCTGTGTGATTTCTGATTTTCAGCTTTGCATTAGATGGTTTTGTACATGATTTAGTGTTTAGCCAATTGACAGTGGTGGAGAGAAGCACTGAAGGAATGGGACCATGTATGTTAGGAGTGCAGAATGAGCTTTTCTTTATAGGTGGCATTGTGTGGATGGGGTCAATGGGCGAGAAGCGCTGGTACTGTAGCATAAGTTCCTTGTCGAATATTAGCTATCTTGTAGTGTAATTTGATGTGAGTTTATGCTATTCTTTTACTTCCTTAGTAATCTCAAGAATATGCAAGATGAAAAGTATTTTGCTACTATCCTCTAAAATATGTATTTGATAGAATAGTTTCCGGATACTGTATATTTAATAACTAAGTTTCTTTTGGCTTTCCCTCCCTAGTAATATTGAGTATGCATCTTCAAATGAAACAACTTAAAGTAAGTTTATGCATTGATGGTCACTTGGTATTGCTGCAAATTATTCCCACACTATTTTTCTTTTGTTTCTTTATAAGTAAAATTTCCTATCTCCATGTTCAAGACTATTGGACACAGAATTCATTTAAATGATAGTTCTAACCTTTTGGACATGTGCTGGTGGATGCGAAAAACCTGTTTGATGGTGTTCATTCTTTGCACTCTTATCTCCCTGCATTTATCTTCTTTATCCGATTGTTGCGTAACTGGTGTTTTGTTGCAGTGGCAATGGCACGCATGATGTTTCCCATAGAAGTCTTGTGCCTATAGACATAGATTATGTGTGTCATGTGATAGTTTTTATAGTTATAGACAGTTGTTTGAACAACCCCGTACAACTATTTACCCTGTTAGTATAGCTATATACTATCATATGCTTCTGGATCCTTTTTTAGCTATCTTCGCTATTTGTTTTTCCTTTAATAATAGTAGTATCGTACAGTATCTTGAAAATACTTTATAGCTGCATTCCTTTTTGCTTTTTCTCTTTATTCCTATCTGTTATGTAATAGTAGTATAGTCATTTGTAGTTGCCGGAAATTAGTCAGTAGAATTGTATACCCTGCTGGTATAGTTATATGTCGTGTTGGTATCGTATGGTAGTTGTAATATTTTTAGTTGGTTTAGTTGCATTTCAAGTGAATTCTATTCCTGAAATTATTTTATATGAACATGTTTTGCAGTGTTGGGATTTCCTTGTACCTATGGACTTAGATTATAAACCAAAGGTTGATTGGGATACCAACTGCCATGTTATTCATCAATTGAAAGCGAATTTATCAAAGAGGCAACTTCGACTGTTTAAGAAAACATGCTTTGGCTATTTTTTGGATCTGCCACCAGTTATTGTGCAGATTCGGGTTATGCACCATTTGCTTATTAGAGAAGTACATCATGAGGTGAAAAATGAGATGCGGTTTGTAGTGAATGATTCTAGGTTGCGCTTTGGCTTGGGTGAATTTGCACTTGTTACTGGGTTGAAATGTAAGGGTGATACAAGTATAGAGAGCATAGCAGAGAATAGGTTGATTTTAAAATATTTTGGGACTGCATCCGTGACATTTGCCCAACTAGCAGACTGTTTTAAGAAGAAGAAATGGGAAACAGATGATGATGCGTTGAAGATAGCAGTTCTTTATTTTGTGAATAGCTTCTTACTTTCTCAACTCAAAACAAAGGTTATTTCACGGTCTTACATTGACTTGGTTGAGTGCGGTGATTTTAATAATTATCCCTGGGGTATAGATGTTTATAAAGCTACAATTAACTCGTGTTCCAACAAGTTTCAAGATAAGCCTTCTTTTTATAGACTCGGTGACTTCCCGTTGGCTTTACAGACTTGGTTGTATGAATGCTGCCCAAGTTTGGATGGTCACTTTGCTGATCATCTTGGAAACAAACTTCCACGAATTTTGAATTGGGTAGTCATGGGTCAAATACCGAATGAGCGAGTTGTTTTGCGAATGTGTAGCTTGCAACGCGAGCAGGTAATTTTCTCATAGTTTTATTGCCTCTCTTAATGTTTTGGTACAGTAGTTTAGTCACAGTTGTAGCAATATCCCAGTTCAGTGATATACTCTGTTGGTATACATGTATACTATATTGGTATCATGTATACTATATCCCAGTTCAGTGATATACTCTGTTGGTATACATGTATACTATATTGGTATCATATGTTAATAGGGATCTTTTATCTTTCCATACTTTATTATCATTTCTATTTCTAACTAGTGTGCTTAATAATTGCAGCTAAAGAACATCACCCCAACTGATGATGAGAAGCAACTATTTGATGTGCGTGGTCTAAGCTTTGAAATTGAAGTTGAGTGCACTGACAGTCAGCCCGATAGCTTTCAGGTTTTTGGCACTCAATTACCAAAGACACAAAGTATGCATGAAAGTACTGGAAGTGATTCCCAACCTACCAATGCTGAGGTAATGAAGGAGTTACAAGCTTTGAAGCTTTTTGTAGAGAACAAGTTTGAGGAGGTGCTTGCAGCTATTGGTAGGCAGTCAATGAAACCAGAGGGAAATTCAGCGGTATTGATCTTTTATATAATATAATGCTATAGTATATTGTTCAAAGATGCAATATATGCTTATAGGATACTATTGCATTCTTTACTTTTAGTGCACATAGTATTCTTGTAATATACATAATACTAAAATTGTTAGTTTCTCATTTTCAGCATAAGCAACAGGATAATGATCCTGACTTTCGTGAGATGCATAATGATTATGACCAGTTTGAAAGTGGCCACGTTGGGAATGATCCTGTAGTTATTGGAGATAGCACGCCCAAAGCACCTTCTAGTATGTAAATCACAGATTTGATCGATTTTTTTTTGCTGTTGTTTTTTATGGTGTTGGTCAAGTGGATGTTGGTGGCAGTAATGTGAATTTGCCTTCTGGTAATGTCTTCTATATATAACTTTTCATTCTTTTTTTCTAAATTTCTTAACTTTGTATATTTATTTATTCACTAGCATTTTCTAATTTAAGCTCCATGTCGACACGGGGGTGATCTTCACTTGGATTCTGATTTTGAATATACTAATTCTCAAATTGATCTAATTGCTTCCATTACACAAGGAGGGAGATGTAATGTAAATCAATCAGAAAATGAACCGACAACTCGTGCTGTAAATAAATCTAAACCTGATAAGTTGGTATCAAGAAGTATTGTCCAGATACAAACAGATGTTGAAACTACTCCTGCAGTTTTCACACGGAGAAGGCGCCCCGCAGCTGTAAAACAGTCGCCGTATAGGAATGACTGGCAATCTGGTGTTACTGCAGTTA